GGGGGGAGGGCTCTGTTTTGCTGCAAGTGTATTCAGATGTAAAAGAAAATCTATCTGTTTTTACCCATAGTTCATTTTATGTCAGTATTGACGTCCAAAACATCTGAATGTTTATCAAAGATTCGTTTTGATTTTCATTCCAATTCCAGTGCACTTATGGGAAATCAATTAAAATTTCGAAAAGGAAATATAAGCGAACAATACGAAAAATTTAAAATACTTCATAACAATTAATTTCGTTCAAACGATTTGTGTACTGCTGAGGGAATGTCCAGAATTTGAATTTCGAATGGAGTTCCTCTAAGGCGGTATACAATATAATACTGGATTTACTTGGTTCAAAACTCCTTGAGATGTTGGGTAAACATACTTGAACCGATTTGCAGGATGTGAATAGTGGTATTTAAATCAAATCTACTGGGTCAGATATGGCTGAATGGTGAATAATTGGCCAGTTGTACTTTAGACGCCACATCAACAGTAACTACGATGTATTATTGAAAAAAATAGTTGTTTTGGTTGTTTGATTGAGCTAGAGGACTGCGGTGGGATTACTAACCTGTTGGCTAACACTGGTAAGGCAGAGAGACAATAGATACCAAGCGAAAAAGGAAATTATATTTTATAAGATGAAGATTGTATTAAGCTCGGCGGAGAAAGCGTGCTCAAGATGTGCAGTTTATTCAACGTTGCTTAGTGTCATCAACAGTGCAAATTTATTCAACACAGTAAAAATCAAACTGGGAACCTTACAACCTCGTCAAAAGCATACTGTTTATCTAACCGTGGAGGAGTTGATCACAGGGTTTAATTTTTCTGGAGAATAAATGTAAATGTTAGATCTAGTTCAAATACACTCTCGAAATGCTACCAGACTATTTCCTTAGGAGATTGTAGAGAACCTGGTACTTTGTTGAAAGCTTTTTTCATCGCCTTAATGTTTAGGACTCACTATGTACCTATTGAAGTCATTAAGTTTACAGCTCTCTTTTGAATTATGTAAGAAAATAAGTATATGTTAATTGAAGGGAAATACATTCTTTTTGTAAGGAGTCTTATGTTTGCCTCCAAAAGCCTCAGTATGGTCAGGGGTGGGTGTCTGGTCACCTTACCCTTGCACCTCACGAAATGCTCCCATCCTACCAAGCGCCTCAAATAGCCTCTGCTGAGGACGCCCTTCTCGCGGCGGAGGTGTTTTCCCACCAAAGTTGGACCACTGGCAGTTCACATAGGGGAGTTGGCCAAAAACCCTGATTCCAAACCAACCATGAGGAGGCGTACAAACCACACCCACACCTTTTCGATTATGGCAGTGGTCACCGGCTCGATTGGGCATTGAGGTGTATTGGGCACCTTGGACGTCTGACCCCGTCCGAAGGGTGTATGATTCGATGAACCGGACACCGGCTCCCAATGGATTGCAGTTTTCACACACCGCCCCGCTACCTTGCAGGTCAGGCTTTGGCTAGCCGAAGGCTCCGGTTGCGGATTCCTCGAGAAAATTCATCTGCCTTGGCCTGGGCAACCGGCAGTACTCAGCCCACAAGCCAATCATGAAACATTTTCTTTTTTATAAAGATTATATATATATATATGTTTAACACCGGCTTGAGATCAAGCTTGGTGCCAACGCCATGACAATATGAACAATAACGAGCGATGGGGGGTTTAGGATACAGAGTATAGGAAAAGAATGTAGCTGTCAGGATAGGAGATTATGAATAATAGGAATAAAAAAGTTTTGGTTGTTTCACCGTACACTTTTTGAATATTTTTGTTGTTTTTACGGGGTACAGGATTTCGATAGACAGACCGTACAGCATTCGCGCCACTGACTTCTATTCCGGGCCATATCTCCCAGCGTCTCCAACCAACGACAATCCTCATCCCTTGGGCCCCAATCTGGAAAGCGGGCTGCACCAACCGAAGCCAAAGCTGAAGCCAGCTTCTTCATGCCATGTCATGATCTGACCGCCGCGTCGATTCTTTTATAAAGATTATTATACCATGATTTGTTTGGCGCACAGTCTGTCCTCAGACAAGTGTGAACTATAATAATAATAACTAATAATGATCTTATGTTCACTCAAAATATATCATATTCCATATCGTAGTGCACTTCCATAACGGCAGGCTGTTCATTGTAACCTACCAACACCGTGTAGCATCCGTTACACATTCTCAACACGCGTGGTGATTTGCCTGCTAAATGTACATCAATCTACGTTAATTAAAAGGTTGTCATTTGCCTCTGTATTCATTTTGTTATGAATTCTCAGTGTATGATCTTCTTCTGTTTTTTTTTTGTTTTTCTGCGGACTGAATCACATTTGAAGTTTCATGCAGCTGTGAAATTATCATCAGGTTCACTATAAGTTTTGCACTTTCAAAAAGATTGTTGGTCAATGAATTGATTTCTGCTTGAATAAATATAACTTGGGATAAATATGCATATGCATAATGGATAAAAGAATCTATCCTCAAGCGAATAAACACAAATCCAAATGGCACCATTGTGTGGATGAGACCTATACTCCCTACTGTCAAAATCAATATATTCACTCACTTTTATATGACACTGAAATTTCTTTTGCATTCTCTGCACTACTTCATCCATAAGTTCCACATCTCGTTTCACCTGCAAAACAGCTACTTCATTTGATCTTTTCTGTCCCAAAAGCGTAGTAGTTTGGCCACCCAATTTCTCTAGTTGCCTTTTCAGGCCACAGTTAATTTCCAGCGTCCGTTGCTGTGATTTGGCCATGCGCTGTTTAGAGGCCTGTAGGAATTNGCCAATTGTAGACAGCGGCGTTGCATCTCATCGTACAGCCTTTGTATCCCAAGAAAATGTGTGTGTCAAACAGTTTCATATGAATGACAGAACATTATCGATCGTTTTAATTAGCTCAGGACAAATACAGTTTTATGTATAATATTCTAATTTTCTCAACCACTAGGTAAAGAATAAAAACGATCGGGTTTAAGGCACTTTTGTGAAGTCTGCTTAGCAAAAAATTACATTTGAAGTGATGAACTCATTCAAAATCCTGTGTCTTGGTAAAAAAATCGATCTTTAATCAGATAAACTGCATAAAAATATAATTTTTGCTAGAGAACAAGACTACTTTCACCATTATTGAGAAAGATGAATAAAATGAAGCAAGCCCTTCTGAAGAAGGGACCTTATTGCAATACTACACAAAGTATGTCTAGGACGGTTTCACAACATCCCAACATGATTTCTATCGCAGGAAACCCAGTGTTGATACAGGGCTTTAGCCTAGGAATAAATTAAATTAAGAAAAATTAAAACAGCCAATATGCACCATGTTCAGATGCAGTGGAATCTTTCCGGACGTGCGTGAATCATACAGTGTTGGAATAAGGTCTTTTATTCTGTAGAAGATGAATAGGACCAAAGGAAATTGTCAGCATTTCGATTTTTGCGCAATTTATCTGAATAATAAATGAGCATAATTGACGGTTTAATATAAATACCACAAACAGTTGCTTTCTGGTCACTTCGCCGGCGGGAATTACAAACGGGTTTAAACTGAGGTCTGCAAAGCAGACCCAGAACACACGTGCATCAAAATTTCTGGTGATCAAGATCGTGGTTTTGACTGAAGGATGGACGAAATAAAGGATCGTTAACGGTTTCTCTTTTACTCACCCAACGACGCGTGTTATGGTATGCTGTTGTTCATCGGACGTCTTAATGTGACTATCACCAGAAGAGTAAACTCTATTCTTACGTGCAACACTTGTTTTTTTGTAGCAAGCTGCGCCCCAATCCATGGGACTTACACCAGAGGAATACATAATATATCAGTTCGTTACAGTTAATTTGGTTTTGCTCATTCAAATTTGCATTCTTGCGTCTTAATCTTTTGCGAACACAGTCGACATTGATATAAAGTCATATTTGTTAACTGTATTTGTAACTTTGTTTCTGAAAGACCCTGTGTTCAATTAATAGTCACCTGTAACCATAATGAACTGACGAAATGACGTTCTCTGTTCGGCCGAACTTCCAATACTTTACATTGGCTAGTGATCCCTTTTCACACCTTTCTGTAAAAATATATTTTTTTATTATACTGCTTAGCCCGTGACTAAGGCTTGGTTTACATCAACACCGCAAACGAGTAAACTGACCTTTTTTGCTCCACGGTTACCTCCAAATCTTTGGCGTAATAGGCTTTTTGATTTTGCTCCATAGTTTCTTCCAGTGCTCGGTTGATTTCTTCAAATTTTATTTGTAGTTGATCTCTTTGTACTCGGATTTCTTCCATGGAGGCAATTTTTCCGGCTATTGGATAATGATTAGTGAAGCCAATTAATCACTAACCCAGATTAGCTTTTTCCGATCCAAGACGTTCTATCACAGCTTCAACCTCGAGCAGAAGTCTGGCCACCCTATCCTCATGTTCACCGTGCTGTTCTGTGATCCATGTTTCCAGTTCCTGTAGCTTTTTTGTTAGAGCTTCTATTTCCGATTCTGATTAAAAGGAAAAAATATATTCCATCATACTGGCACCCGTTACCTTTTCTTCTGATACAATTCTTCAGGTAATCATCCAAAACCAATTTGTCACATTCTTCTCTGCCCCGATCAGACCGTATGTCTTCAACAACCAAACGCAAATTATCAATTACGTGTTGTATTCTTTACAAACAATTTCGTTGACCTGCTTGGAGTCAGTTATTGATAATATCTACCTTTTGACTTCATCGTTCAAATTGACCACTTGTCGCATGCATGAATCTCGATCATAATCAAAGAACTTATCCAGCTCGGTGTTGTTTAAGCTCGAGCTGTTTGTCTGCGGTCGCGAGGATTTTCCTTCCTTTTTGCTTCTGCTTCTGCGTTTCTTCACCATCTTCGACTTTGCGGACCAATAGAGATGTGTATTATTTACGACGATTTCCCAGTGCGCTGCTGTAAAGGCAATATTTGCACAAAAATAATCAATTTGAGTAGGGAAGCCAAAACATGTTTGCCTAGTGTATCCTGGATCTTTCCCCTGCATTTGTACATGGGCATACTGCAGTTTGCGATTATTAATATATGCAATATATGCGTAAAATTAGCCGTTAAGCGCAGCTGATATCGTCGTTATTCATACATTCACCCGGTTGCCAACACCCTCCATGAAAGAACTGCTGGCTTCCCATACCAAATCTAATTTTGTCTATTAGTCAAAATGTGGATACTCGGCCGTCTACATCGGTGGAACGGAGAGACAACTGCGCTACCGGGTAACTAAGCGCATCCCGGTTTGGCTATAGAAAACACATAGTGGGAAATTGGGAAGTATGACGTCATCGATGACTCAGTTCACCAATTACACAACGTTTGGTTGAAGTGAAGCACTGTGTCATGCTGCGCAACGCGTTCAGAATCCTGTACAACACAAATAAAACCAAGTTATGAAATACATCGAGGCACTAACTATTCGAAATTATCGTCCTCAACTGTTTAAACAGCGTGGATGGCTTGTCACTCTTGCGCTACCCTGGTAAAAAAATGAGTAATTGTGACCGCAATCTTTCTCTGCCTACGGTTCTGTCATATCTGACAATATATTAATGATCACATAAACCGCAGTATGTATGCGTATAAAACTGAGATATTGCAAAATAATTCTAATTATTCTAATTATTTTGAAGATGCCATTTATTGTCATTAGTTCAGGGACTACAATTATCAAGAAGGAACCCGTATATTGAAGAACGATTAACCAACGAATAATCGATAGAAGCAAACCGGTACGTTCTAATGTCGGCGGAGCAGTTAAGTGGGAGTTCATTTATTTGAGAAATAATTTTTATTCATGTAATCACAAATAAAAACGTTTTGATTACTTGTGATCATTTAAATTATGAAATGATCGATCGATTGACTAATTATTATTAAATTTTATTTAATAATAAATTTTAATAATCATGAATGTTTATCAATTTTAATTGAACTGAATTAACCTAGTAAATAGAAGAAAAGGAAAAAAGTGAAGCTGGTTCGTTGTAATATAAGAAGAATGTTTCTTTAATCTGGAATGATGGAGCGCTGGGGTGTGTTTTAAGTACATGGGACGTTTCGATTATTTGTTGCTTTTGAATTCTTGCTGCAGTCGGTCGTCATGATTTCAAGGTCAGGTCAGTTCAGGGCACGTCAGAATGCACAGGACTGAATATGGCCACGGTCAATCGAGCGTCCAGATTTCTTCCGGCAGTATGCTCACAAGGTGTGCACCAACCACTACGAATTGTTTTCATTACGTTAACCTTGCTGAAAGGGAAAATAAAAGGCTCGTCTCCGTTCACCTCATCGGCGAACAAGGGATATGGGTCAGTTAGTCAGTCAGTCAGTCAGTTTGCACAGGACAGGAGATGGCCACGGCCAATCG